AGCAGCCTGTATTCCTCTCTTTCCTCAGCTGTGGCAAATCCTCCCAGGTATAAATGGGCACAAACATCACAGATAAATACAGGGAGATGAACAGTACAGCGTATGGGTGTGAACTGTGGCGCCACTGGTGACCACATGGTCTCAGGTGCGCTATGTCACTTCCAAGTCAGTATACTCAGCTGGCGAATGGGGTCATGTTGATTCCCAAGTCAGAACTTCTCATGAGATCCTTCCTCCTTCATATAAAGCAGTTAGTACCGTTCCTGGCTTTAAGGATTTAGCAAATATTCATTCAAATTAACGTGATCTTGGAACCCAAGTTGTCCTGCATTTCCTTCCCGTTCTTTTATTGATTTTATTGGATTCCTCTTTGTTTTCTCCAGTCCACTAACCCACGACTTTTTTGCCAGCCCCTGGCCCCTTCCTGTCCTCACTTTTCTTAGATCTCATCATTACAGTCACAGCAGGGCCAACTTGATCAGCACAATGTTCTCTCCCTCGTTTCACAGCTCACCTGCCTAAACTGCATCCCTGCTGAATCTAGCTCTCTGCTTTGTCTACAAGAGATGGCGGAGTGTGAGGCATAAGGGTACTAGCTCTGGAGTGAGATGGCCCAGGGTTCAAACACCTGCTCTGCCACCTAACACCAGCGTATCTTCAAGTGCTTATCACATCTGTAAAATGAGGATGATGACAATAAGAATGCCTGACCAGGGATGTAATGAAGTTTAAATGAAATGACACACTTCGATTTGTACTAGCCACAGTAATTAAATAACTTAATAAGCACTAGCTAGGATCCCTTTTGTTATTATTACTCTGTGCTTGAGCCAATGGAACGAGGCTGGGGTAATCACACACCCAGGCAGACTGCTTATACTGTCAGTGTGGAACCGCGGCATCAGGTGGGTCCTTGCGACAGTCAGGCAACTCCGTTGGATGGTTCGTTTGCTCTCCTGCTCTCGCACAACACTGTCTCCTGACTTCAGCTCTGACTTCAGATCTCCTGCACTCTCAGCTGATGGCCTGCCCTCCAGCTCCATGGGGAAAATAGAAGCCTCTAGACAAGTACTGCTTCATCTGACCACCATCCAATATACAACTACCCACATCTGGACTCACTGTCTCTGCCTTCTCTCTAATTCAGTGGAAGAAGGGGCCTTGCTCTGTTAAAGGCCAATCCTTATATTTGGGTCCCAGGTCACCTCTCCTATGACTTTTTCCAAGGACCTTCCTCCTGCAGTTTTCTCTTTTCTCTGCATCTTCAGTTCCTCCCTAAAGTGACCCTCAAAGATCCCCTCCTCCTGGTATCTTCTTGCTTTCAGTGTGAGTAGAACCCATCATTCACCTCTAACCAATAGAAAGTGGCAAAGATGATAGGGTCCTGCCCCCGTGATTAGAGTGCCTTATATGAGTCTCCATCTTGCTAGCAGATGGAGCAAGATTCTCCTTGCTGACTTGACAGAGTAAGAGGCCATGTTGAGGGAACGATGTAACAACACCCTGCAGGAGTGGAGGTGGGGGTGGGGTGGGGCTGTAGGAGCTGAGGGCAGCCCACGAGTAACAGGCAGCAAAGAAGCTGGATCCTCGGACTAGAGATGCGAGGGAATGAGTTCTGCTAACAACCTGAGTGAGGCTAGAAGTGAATCCTGCCCCAGTCAAGCCTCCAGATGAGAATGCAGCCCACCCAACACCTTGATTGCAGCCTTGTGAGACTCAGCAGCAGACCGAGCTAAGCCTGGCCCAGACTCCTAACCCACAGATACTGGGAGAATGGTTGTAAGCCAAAAAGTATGTGGTACTTTGTTACACAGCAATAGAAAACAAATACACTTCACCCCACACACACCAGATCATTCCTATCATGCTGTGGTCACTACATTAGAGTCTACAGAATCCTGTCTAAAATAAAAATCTAGACCATATGCCCTCCAGATTCTCCCCCTTCTCTCTATTCTTCTTTCCAACAAAAGAGTTTAAAAGAATTTTTCATGTCTCACTACATCCTCACCTCCACTCACTGCTTGGGTCTCATCACTGACTTCACATTCTTTTGTTAAGGATACCAATCCATTCCCTGTTATCTAATCCAAACGAACACATCTCTATCCTTATCTTCCTCAATATCCCAGGGGTATTCAACACAGTTCACTACTTCCCACTTTTGGAAATATTTCTTCTCTTGCAAAGTCCAGGAAGGACTTTTCATTTTCTAGTTTTCCTTCAACCTGTTTGGCTGCTGCTTCTCAATCGTCTTTGCTGGCTTCTCCTCCTACGCCCAAACTTAAACAGCGCTGGACCCCAGAGTCTAGCCCAAGGCTGTCCTCTGGTGTGCACTCACTTCCTCGTCCCAGCTTTAAATGACATCAATATGTCTTCCCAATTTTTCTCTCTAGCCCTGATCTCTCCCCTCAGCTCCACATCCTATAGCCATGTGCCTACGTGCAGTTTCCATGCAAATATCTGAGCATCAATCTCAGACTTAACACGAACCCTCCCCCAATTCATCGGCAAGTTACCACAGGTGGGTCTTCACAATCGATCCTGAATTTACCCACCCCTGTTTACCTCCACTCTTAGTCCACACTGCCCTTACCTCTCACATGGACTGCAGTGACTGCCATCTAACCGGCCCCCTTGATCACCCTGCTGTCCTGTACGCTCCAGTCTAACCTTTCCAAAAACACAATATACCTTGTATGCCTGTAAAACTTTCCAAAGACTTCATACTCTAAAAGGCCCACAGGCTCTATGCTGCTGGCCTCTACCTGCCTCCCTAACATATCTCGTACCTGTCAAGTTCCAGCCACACCCACCCTTTTCCCCTTCCCACTTCAAGACTTTTGCAATTGTTACTCCCTCTGCCGGAAAAGATCTTCCTAAGCTGCATGTCTTGGATCTCAGATCCAATGCCCCCTCCTCAGGGAGGTCTTCCCTCTAGCTGCTTTCTCCTCTTCCTCTTAGACTCTGAGATACCAGTCTCATTTCCCTCATGGCATGCGTCGCTGTCCCAAGCACCACGTTTATTTATTTGCTTGCTTGATTGTTGCTCTGGCTCTTCTTACTAGATGTGGGCATCTGGAAAGTGCTCACTGCTGTGTTCTGGAATAGTACCTGGCACACAGTAGGTGCTCAATAAATATCTGAATAAATGAATGCATCAACATGTATGATATCAACATTCTCGTACGCATTAAAATAAAATGATCTGATTTTATCCATTAGAAAACCTCTTCAGATGCTATGTCAAGACATTCGGCTTTAAAGCAGTAAAAGATTATAAAAATTATACTTCAAATCACTCAATATATAAATTCCTGAAGAGTTATGGGCAAGTCAAAACATTATAAAATGAAGCTCATTTTGAAAGAATTGAACAGATATTTGTTCAGAGGTGTGAAAAATCTTTTTAAATAATGTGAATTATCACACACCAGTTATTTTGTTTTTATAGATTTAATTTTTTTCCTGCATTGGATTTGCTTTGATCATGGAGCATAAATTATAATTAATTTTTCTATCACAAATTGTGCAACCGCTGTTCAAACCACAAGACACCTTTTCAGTATTTCTAGACAAAAATGCTAAGGAGTCACAACTCTTGTTACTTAATGTCACTGATGCCATGTGACTTAATTCCAAACCCAGCTATATCCTGTAACCATACAATGCAGGCCTTTTAGTAGACCATGGTAATGAGTGTGGTCATGGTCTGGATTCCAATAAGCAACTGTCAAAAACTATCATCCCAAGTGACCATTTGCTGAAAACTTCTCACTCCCAGAACTGGTACTTCCAGGGTGGTCTAGGAAATAAGTTTGTGCCCATGTCTACTCTGGGGCTATTCTATGCTGATGTTTAACATTTCTTTGGAACTGCAATTTCATGCTTTGAAGAGTTAACTTGCTTCTGCAAGCCCCTAAAGATTTTTTTTAAAAAAATAGTCTCTATTAAGTTCATCTGTTTACTTATTTTCCTTCCAGTTATACCAATATCTTCTGAAAACTCCAGTAAATAGCTATTCAGTTGATTATACGCAACACTCTTGAGAAAAATCACTCACTCCATCGTTTACCACTTGCTGCCCTCAAAACTTCTTAGCAACATACACTGTGCATGAACCTCAACGTGGTTTGCTTTGTCCAATCACATGCCTGAAAGCCCAGCCAGTCAGTTGTGTAATAATAAACCCCTTATCTCCTGAAGATACACAAACGAAAAGATCTCTTGGCGCTGCAGTGCACAGGGGACTTCGCCAGAATTCTCAGCAGAAACACAACCATTTAAAATGCCAAATCCCCCCCTCCCCACCTTTTTCTTCTCATTTGCAATTTTGAGGAGGCAAATAAACCCAAAATGTTAAACAATGTCGAGTTTAAGCAGGGGAGGGGAGGCGGGCACTGCCAAAAGCTGCCAAGCAAAATGCATGTAGAAACCCAGGGCTTGGGTTTTGCTGTCCTGGGCTTACCGGTTCCCTCACAGGCGCCTGGAATGGAAACTCATCGACAATTGTTCTTGGATGCATAAGGGGCTGAGGGATTGACAAGAGAAGCCGTTTTCTAGTTTCTATGAGCTTGACTAGTCCTCAAAAGGAGAAGGGGACAGTCTTGCTTCCTCCGAGTAGAATCCTATTTCACTGCCTCCTATCTCGCCCGTCCCCACCGGGCGCAGACCGGCGCCTGCCTCGTCCCATCTCCAAGTTCCCCGCCTTAGCGGGGAAAAGCGTCCCTCACCAGCACCCACACCAGACAGCACACCCGCCCCGGCCTCGGAGGAAAGGGGGAGCGGCCGCCCGGGAAAGGTGCTGGGGCCCGGGCGGTGAGCTCATCGGTCCCCTCGCTCTGCCCCGCGCGCGGCCGCCCGCGCCGCCGGACACACCCCTCCCGGCCCGGCCTCTGCGATCGCCGGCCCCGGCCTGAGCCCGCGCCGCGCCGGGGCCCCGGGCCCGTCCCCTCCCCAAGCCCGCGGGACCCGCGCGCGCCCCCGCACCCGGCACGCACCTTCAACGCGCCCCGGGCCGGGCCCTTGGGGAGCGCGCGGCCGGGGCCCAGGGCCACGAAGCGCTCCTCGCCGTCCTCGTCGTCGTCGTCGCCGTCCACCACCTCGACGACCACCTCCTCGTCCTCGTCCTCCTCGTCGTCATCCTCCTCCTCCGCGCCCCCTCGGGGCTTCGCCTGCACTCGCCCGAGCCCCCTCCGCCGCCTGCTCCCGCCCTCCTCTTCCTCGTCTTCCTCCCCCAGAAGCAGCAGCACCGGAGACGAGGCGGCGGCGGCGGCCCCGGCGGCC